CACGAAAAAATGGTTGAAATCACTTGCAAGAGTTTCTATTGAAGAAAGCGAAGGAAGTGTGAGCTCATCGTGTGAGCCATAAACTCATTCATACTATAAGATAACTTTTTTGACTTTTTTTCAATTGATTGTTTTTAATTTCTTCAGTGATATAAAGTTAAATGAAATTTGTAACACTTTTTTTTTTCAAATATCTTTTTATGGAAAAATTTCAATAAAATTACAATGTAATTTTAGCTTCACCTGTCTGACAGTGAAATTTCTTTGCTTTTGACTGGAAGCTTGCGATATTATTTGAACGAACCTTATAATAACGACTTCCTGGATCGATGCTGCAAAGAAGTATGTGATTACGCTTTCGTTTGGCAAGCGTTATCAAATCGGAATATAGACGTTTTTTAGTAAACAATTAGCTTTAAAAAATCAGTTGAATCAATTATGCTGACGAGCTCAATTTCACGAAATTTTAAATTAAACTCCTGGGTTCTACTCTAAGTTTTATATGCATAGTTATAGAGATCTGCTGATGATTTTTTTGCTGATGATTTTCTATTGATGATTTTTTGGCTTCATGCTTGTCGACTTAAGCTCTGTCGGTTTAGTTTCCAATTTATCTAGCTCCTGATTGATAAAAACAGGAATTATAGTTTCAATTTATCTAGCTCCTGATTGATAAAAACAGGAATTATGAAAATCTATGGATTCTGATCTTTAATGTTTTTGGAGAGTCCTTTTGGTGTCATTTTGTTTTGATTTCAATCAAAAAAACTGGCTTTGGGAAGCTCTTTGCTTGAATGGTTCTGCCTAAATCTTTTAACCGAAAAGTTGTAACCTTAGGAAAAAGCCAAAACTGTGATTTTTTAACCGTTTTTTGGAACTTTTTGATTTTTCTCAAAAACTATCCTCCCAAATCGAAGTTTTTGGGTTCAATGGTTGAAGCAGGTCTTTGAAGCTCATCTGCAGCAGTAGTTACTCTCAAAATGTTCAATACGAAAGTTAATGGCGCTCGGAAAAGTCAAAACTTTCATTTTTGGACTGTTTTTTCATACTTTTTGAAGTTTATCGAAAACTACTTTTCCGAATCTGAATTCATGAGATCAATGGAGAGAATAGATTTCTGAGTTCATGAGATCAATGGAGAGAATAGGTTATGTAAAACCTCCGTGCATAAGTAAACTCTACCCAATTTGTTGGCAGAAAAAATTTTGAATTCAGTTTGTTTTTGATTTCAATTGTTGATAATTTTGTTTTGATTTCAATTAAAAAAAAACTGGTTGTGGAAAGCTGCCCTGCTTGAATTGCTCTGCCTAAATCTTTTAAACGAAAATTTGTGACCTTAGTAAGAAGCCAAAACTGAGATTTTTAAACCGTTTTCGGAACTTTTTGAAATTTCTCAAAAACTACCCTTCCAAAACGGAGATTTTTAGTTCAATAATGAGAACGAGTCGTGGGAAGCTTCGTTGCATTAGCAGCTACACTCAAATGTTTGTACAATAGATTTTATGGCCTCGGAGATGTCATAGTTTTGATTTTTGACTGTTTTTTGACAATTTTTGACTTTTTTTTTGAAAACCACTCTTCCAAATCTGAAGCGGCGAAAATATGAAAATATGGTATCATAATAGCACCTAGCTTAACTTTCAGACCTATTTCCTGCTTTTCATCTTTTAAGGAAGTTTGCTATTTCAATAATTTTCAAAGCAATAATTTTTTGACCTATTTTTTGTTGAAAATAAGCCATCAACTTGTGAATTGGGAAAATTTTGCTTTTTTGATTTCTTATTTTGCCCTTATTTGCATCAGTACGTATTCTTAGAAAAAATCAAATAAATACTTCTAACTTCTCTATTTTGATTACAGTACTGATATATCCATCGTAGTATGTTTTTTTTTTACTAAAGTTTCAGCTTTTGGATGTCGGCTTCACATCTGTCGGCTTATTTTTCTTCTTAAAGTTTAGCATTTTTGAGATCGTTGAGACTCTGACACCAATTTTGACTGCCAAATTTCAACCCCATTAGGATCTTTTTGAAAAAGTTATAAATGTTCAAACACTCACAAAAATATTTTTTTAAGGTTTTTTTTAAATTGTGTTTCCACTTCCTTCTTCAGTAGTAACGTTGATCGAAGTTCTGTTTGCCAATTTTTTTTGCGTCATGGTGCACTCACCCTATGATTGGTCTATACCAAATGATGCGAAGTTCAGATTGCCTTTGTGTTCAATTTCAAAAAAATTTTGCTTAATAGGTACAAAACTTGCTACGAAAATGAATGTTAAAACCAATCGGAACTAAATGAAAAAGAAATGGATATCAATTATGATGCAAAAAATTTGTTAAATTAGAAGTGAAAATTTGCTGACCTTCTTTTATTTAAAAGCACTATTTGATTTAAGCTATTTTGGTGAATTGCTGCCGCCGTCGGGCTTCCCACACAAAGGAGACTGTTTCAGAAAACATTTCAGAGCAAAACTGTACCCAGATTGTCTTAAGTTAACATCTTGAAATCCAGAATTCCATAAACGGTTTTAAAATCGATCCAGAGCTCGATCAATAAGACACCAAAACCAGAACGCTTTTTTTATACCGATGAAACAGCAATAATAATTTAACAATGTCGAGAATGACACAGGCTAACGTCACGAGAGCGCTCCACACGAGGCATAGAAATGTTATAGCTGGGGAATATTATACTTATCCCGAAACTGACAAAAGAACAGTTACATTCAATAAAGCAAAATTTGAAAACTAAAATGAAAAAAAAAAATCAAAAAGGTGATAGGAAGAAGCAAGAAACCAGTTTAAAAACTTCATTATATTGACTGACTCTGATTTGAAATAAAAGGATCGCATAGAATTACTAAAAAAAATCCTATTTTTACGGATTCGTACATCGACTTCATAAAACTTTGACATAATCTGGAATAAATCAAGGTT